AGCGAAAGCTTGCTTGTACCTGCAAGCGTTCAGGAGAATTCAAGTCACACTCTGAAGCCATATCTAGCTTAAATTTATGAGACTCAGCCAGGTTTCTCCTTTGACTGCCTGGAGTCCTGTGCTGCTGATCGGTTTTTTTAAAAAAACAACAACCTGTAAACAAATACCCCAGCGTCGTTGTTTACGTACAACTCCTGCCTCAGTGATCGCTGTCTTCTCATGGACCAAAAAACTTAACCTCACAGCAGTGAACCCTTAACCTTTATGCTTGCTACGCTAAGAACATCTTGTAACTGAGGGGAAGGTTTACTGTTCAAAACCAACCCTGTTCCACAAAATCAAAAGAGATTGTGTGGTTGCCCTCACTGTTCAAATTGATTTATCTGAATATATATTTTCACATTCTCATACAAGAGCTGGGAGTGTGAGAGGGTCTGAAAGCTATCGTCAATGGACGATGTCAAGAAACCCAGCAAATGATCTTCAATATGGAGATACTTACAGTTTGTGTGGACACGTATGGATAACCCTCACCATTACCACCACCCCTGACTTGGAGACATGGACTAACACACTTAAAATCATAGAACTGGAAGGGACCTTCAGGGTCATCTAGTCCAACCCTGTGCACAATGCAGGAAATCCACAAATATCTCCTCCCCCACATTCCCACTGACCACATTCCATGCCCAGAAGATGGGGAACCCCCCCCCCCAGGACCCCTGGCCAAACTGGCCTGCAGAAAATTTGCTTCCTGACCCCAAAGTGGCAATCAGCATTTCCCTGGGCCTGTAAGAAAGGGTCACAAGCAATGCTCCCTCTGAGATGTGGAGTCTTGTGAGCAAAAATTCTGCTTTGTGAGCTACTGGCATTAAAGTTGTGGCCCGGGATCCAGTAGAAACATAGCAGCATATTTTGAGCCTGAATGTTAATTGAGATCAGCGTCCTATCTGAATTTAATATTCTTAAGACTTGTTGTCTAACATTTATGAAACTGAGAGCTTTGGCACCACTATAATATCTCCTGAAGAAGATCCATTTTTTGAAACGTTGTTATGTAATCCGGAGACGACATTGATTATGTTTGGTTCAAGGATTTTCTATTGAGTTGTGTATTATGTTGTAGTGCTTTATAAACAGCATTCTTTATAAGTCTTATGACTGTTTGATTGTGGGTCAGACTATCACAACTGTTGGCTTTATACTTGTTTAAATGATCTGGGCTGTGCCACCAGAGGTCTACTAGGCCCAAGGAGCCTGGCTAGCAGTAGGTGAGGCTGGGCCTACACCTCCCAGAAGCCCCTGGGAGTTTTGGAGCCAAAATGGACCAATAGGAAAAGAGGAGGGCTGGAAATAAAAGTTCTGGAGCAGCAGGAAGAGCTGTTCTTTCTTCCAGAGGGCAGAGCCGGAAGGAAGGCTGCTGCAGGGGAGAGACCCTCATCCTGAGGACAGGGTGAGTAGTGTAAGGCCACTTAAGATAGTGAGCTAGGGACAGTGTATATTTAGACACATTCGGGCATTCGATTTCTTTTCTTTTCACCCACTTACTGTTATTATTCTGCACCTTGTTGTTTGACCTCCTATAAAATAAACCTTTCCCTTGTTTTACTCTGCCTGGTCCTCACGCCTGTTATTCAGCCTAAAGGGAGGTCTGAAGGTCTTGGGAGGGTACTCTGGGCCTTCTCAAGGGAACCTAAATCCAGAGTGGAGGCAGCGTCAGGTGACACCCCCACCTGAGTCGTGACAGCAAGCGATTTGGCTGCTGCATAAATTAGTTTGCTCTGGAGCCATCCTTCCTGAGCTAAGAAAAAAATGTGTGAGCCAGAGTTTAAAAAACTCTGAGCTAACTCACACTAACTCAGCTTAGAGGGAACTCTGGTCACAAGAACTGAGCACTGAGGCAACCCTTCCTGCCCCTCCCTCTCATGATCTGCCTAAGTTCACAGCATCAGCATCGCTGTCAGATGGCCATCTAGCCTCTTTTTAAAAACCACCAAAGGAGAGCCCACCACCTCCCGAGGAAGCCCTGTTCCACTGAGGAACCACTCTAACTGTCAGGAAGTTCTTCCTAATGTTAAGCCAAATACTCTTTTGATTTAATTTCAGCCCATTGGTTCTGGTCTGATCTTGTAGGGCAACAAGTCTGCACCATCAGCTACATGACAGCTCCTCAAGCTCTTGAAGACGGTTATCATATCACCTCTCAGCTGTCTCCAGGCTAAACATCCCCAGCTCCTTCAACCTTTCCTCCTAGGACTTGGACTCCAGACCCCTCACCATCTTCACTGCCCTCCTCTGGACACGTTCCAGCTTGTCTATATCCTCCTTAAACTTCTTAATTCATGAGCCTAGTCTTCTTTCTTGGAAAAATGAAACAAGACTCTTCTGTATTTTGGAAAAGCGTTTTTTAATATTTTATTATGTAAAAACCTCATTATCTGGCCAGGTAAACTTGTAAGGCAGAGATCCGCGCGGTGCCAATGTTGCACAGGGAAAATTCCATTCCCCCCCTTCAGAGCAAACTGTTAGCTAAAATACTTTCTACACAAAGCCTTAGTACCAAGCAAAGCAGATAACGTTGTGCTAACATACCGACATAATCCATCTAACTATTAACCAAATAAAAGCACCAAAAATAAAATGGGAGACTCTGCATCAGAACGGCCTTGGTTTATTTTACCAATTAACAGTAGCTCGTCAGTTGTATCCTTTGAAGATTACAAGGGAAGCAGGAAGGTAGTACCCCCTCCCCCCATTCATCCTCAACATCCAATAGCCACAGCTATAATGTTTGTATCCAGTGGCTCTGAAGAAGTGCGCATGCGCTCAAAAACGTATACCTTGAATAAAACTTCCTTGGTGTTAAAGGTGCCACTGGACTCAAACTTTGTTCTGTTGCTTCAGACCAACATAGTTACCCACCTGAATCTAACCACAGGTATACTGCTCTTGAACACGGAGGTTCCATTTAGCAATCATGGGTATGAACCACCAGTAAGGCCAGTTCTAGAATCTGAACAGCTCAATTTTTAAAGCCGCTCCTCTTCCTTGTAGTAGTGAACTCAGTAAGTTAATTATGTGTCGTACAAAGAAGTGTCACCTTTCCACCTCTCGTCAGTGCCGTTGAATAAACACGGGCCTCAGTGTTGTGAGGTGGGAAGGAAACATTTTAATTTTTTTTTGCTATTTCCATTCTCTAAACACTGCTTGTGGCTTCATAAAACCTCAACCACATCTTATTTCTAAACTAAAAAACGCAAAAACTCTTATTACATTTTTTTAAAAAAATCTTCTTCCGAGGAGGCTCAGCTTGGCGTACATCTGACCCCTTTTCCTCCTTATCCTCACAACAAACCTGTGAAGTAGGTTAGGCTGAGAAAGAGGGGTGGCCCAAGGATCACCAGCAAGCTTTTTGGCTGAGTAGGGATTCGAACCCAGGCCTCCCCAGTCATAGTCCAACAGCATGTCACAGTGGCTCATGGTAGACTCTCAGTGATTATTCAGACATCTGGAATTTTTTTAGCCTGTTAACATCCTTTTTGAGATTATAATCATAAAAACTCCCCACACGTGATCAGAGAACTGCTGCATCACAGGTTTACTTTGACCTCTTGTAAGATAAAGGCTTCAAGTGAAGTTTTGTTGTTTTTGCTTGCTTTATATGCGGAAAAGGAGTCGTGGCGAAACTTTGGGCATCTCGTAATGCAGTTTTTCTTCCTCTGTGCAAATACTTTCAGTTGTCATGGAGACCCAGAACACCGAGTATGTGCAGAGTTCCTTTCTGCCCGAACTTCTGCCGCACAATGTCCACCTCGCTACGCCCAGCTTAATTCTACCAAGAGTCAACCGTTTAAAACCAAGTGACTGCTATTACGTCTGCCGTTCACTCGGTCACTGAAGATATCTATTCTCATTTTTTTTTAAAAGGGGGCTAAAATTGTAGTACTATTGGGGGAAAACAACCTGGTAGCAGGGTTAAATACGTTAACGTGGGGGCAGGTGAGTGCTCTTTGAAAATCCTGAACACGGACATACAGTAAAAGGGGTACTTCTTTTTTTAAATAGCATTTCATGTAGAAGGAAATCAGAGTCTATACAACATTTATAGAAAGCGGAAAAAATTCAAAAAGGGTATCAAAATAGAAAAATACAAACAGCTATCTAAAGCCAGACGGGGCTCAAGTGCGTATGGATAATCGCAGTCTCTTTGTTCAAGATATTTCAAGATGGCGTCAGGCACATGCTCTGTCTCGGATGGAGAAGCCGGAAACTGAAACTCCGCCATGTTAGTGGAAAAGCTCAAGAACAGTTCCAACGTTCCTCCCCAAACATACTTGATAGGAAACAAAACTTCACGTGCTCCCCTCCTTGGCTGGAGTTGAAGGCTTCTTATGCGGGAAACCAGCTTGTCCATCAGGTGAGGCGCTCACAAACCAGGAGTGAAACCTGATGTAAGAAGCAGGTAACTTTGAAGCAAATCACCTGAGAACACCTGGTGAAAGTCAGGTGTCCTGGAACTCTTTTGCCCTTCCTGTAAGCAGGAAAGAGGGATCTTTCATTACTAAAACAATTAAGCAAGGAAGGATCTGGAGTTCCCACTATAAGATGGTAGATCTAAAAGAATTTCCTCACTCCGTGCAGGTTTCTGACAAAGAGAAGGTAGAAAGGACATTTTCCTGCACAGAAAGTGTAAAAAAAAACAACCCCTAAGCTAATAAAAATTAGGGTTTGTAACAGTTATTAAAGGCTGATCAGTTGGAAAAGTTTTATTCTGATTGTCCACGTGCTTCCAAACGGGTGTCAATCCTTCAATGTGAAGTAAGATCTGAGAGGAACCTGAAGTTCTTTCCACGCTCCAAACGTATCGAGGATTTGAGGGATTCCCCCCCGTGTGGATGACCTGATGTGCTTTAAGGTCCGATTCGTCACAAAAGCTCATGCTACATTCTGAGCATTTGTAGGGCTTCATGTGAATCCGATGATGCCTGCTAAGGTAGGACCTCTGAGTGAAGCTCTTCCCACACTCCAGGCATTTGTGCGGCTTCTCCCCAGTGTGGATTCTTTTGTGCGAGGTGAGGTTGGTGCTCTGAGAGAAACTCTTCCCACACTCTAAGCACTGATACGGCTTCTCTCCCGTGTGGATTCTCTGATGGATAGTGAGCTCGGTACTCCGGATGAAGCTCTTTCCACACTCGTTGCATTTGTACGGTTTCTCTCCCGTGTGGATTAGCTGATGCGAAGTAAGATGCGTGCTGCGAATGAAGCTCTTCCCACACTCCATGCATTGGTATGGCTTCTTGCCTGTGTGGACTATTTTATGTGAACGGAGTTGCTCGTTCCATTTGAAGCTCATTCCGCACTCCAGGCATTGAAATGGTTTCTCCCCTGTGTGGATTCTTAAATGTGAAGTGAGGTGTGAACTCTGAATGAAATTCTTTCCGCAGACCAAGCATTCATACAGATTCTCCCCTGTGTGGATTCTCCAGTGAGCATTAAAACTCGATTTACAACTATAGCTTTTCCCACAAATGGGACACTTACTTCTTTCCTTTCCCTTCCCTATTTTAACTTGGATCGGGATTTCGGGAAAGTCACCACCCTGAGAAGTGGAGGATTCATTCTCCGTTTCTTCTTTTATTTCAATTTTCCACAGATGGTCTTCTTCTGTACTTCCCAGTCCTTCCAGTGAGACTTGCTGTGGTTCTCCCTCAGCCCTACTCTCCCAGCCTGCAGGAATAAAAGAGAAAACTGGTTAAGACCCTAACTTTAAATCAAGGAACAAACCTGTGGCAGAAAAATAAATGAGCCTGAGGCATTTCTGGATAACAGGCTGGATTAGCTGAGGCCTCTCTGTTTGGTTCAGGTTTAGATATTGTCCTCTATCAAGCCTCTCTCTAGCATGACAATGCACTCTGCTCTAAAAAGAATAGTTTACATTTCTCTCGGTCTATCATTTCAACCTCATACTGTGCCAAAGACTCCTAGTGAGAAGGTTTGTAGCTTCTGACCTACAACATACTTGCTGAAGCAGGTGCCTGTGCTTCCAATAAAGTCACAACAAAGTTTATCCATAACATCCTTGGCTGTCTAGGGTAACGAGGGTATGAGTTCAGGGTGAAAACTGTTCTCTTTATTTTGCTATTCTTCTGCTAAAAGTGTGTTAACCTTACATTATACTTATGAGCTGAACCTCTGGGTACTGATGGTATAAATTGTTGAAGACTTCTTTGCTCTTGGCTGGTCATCAATCAACTCTCTGTGAGCTCGTGTTGACTAGGCCAGGGTGCTCTGTATTTCATGATAGTGCACTGTGTGTTGAAGTATTCTATGCTGAATATGGAAATGTTATGTTTTTATCCTAAAAGATTTGTAAGTGCTAAAGTGCTTTTTGGTCTTAAGCAGCTTATATTGTAATAAACTGGTTTTGTTTAAGAACTGTGGTCTCTATTGATTCTCCACCCAACCAATAGAAGAACTAAAGGGCAATGTGAGGATCCCACGGAAATAGTCCGGGGGTCCCAGAATCCCACAACAAAAGTAAAAACACACACAAGGGCAGATCCTAATTTTAAGTTGTTGTTGTTGTTCTTCAGTCGCACAGTCGAGTCCGACTCTCCACGACCCCATCAACCAGATCACGCCAGGCCTTCCTGTCTTCCGCCATCCTCTGAAGTTGGCTCAATTTCATGTTCGTTGCATCCATGACACTGTCTAACCATCTCATCCTTTGCCGTCCCCGTCTTCTTTGACCTTCAATCTTTCCCAGCATCAAGGTCTTCTCCAGTGAGTGCTCCCTTCTCATTGGGTGGCCAAAGTATTTCAGCTTCAGTTTCATTATCTGGCCTTCCAGGGAACAGTCAGGGTTGATTTTTTAGGATTGACTGATTTGATCTTCTTGCAGTCCAAGGGACTCTCAAGAGTCTTCTCCAGCACCATAGTTCAAATGAATCTATTCTTCGGTGCTCGGCCTTCCTTATAGTCCAACTCTCGCAGCCATACATGACTACTGGGAATTCCATTGCTTTGACCATGTGGACTTTTGTTGGCAGGGTGATGTCTCTATTTTTTATCATGCTGTTTAGGTTCGCCATCGCTTTCCTCCCCTGACTTTAAATCAGGGAACAAACCCAATCAACTGAGGTAAGGTATGAGCAGAAAAGATACTCTTTCTTTTTAATGTCCGCGGGAAAAGTGTATTGCACTGTTCATTGTATGTTTGTGTTTTTCTATGTCTATGTGTTTTTATTGTGTTGTTAAATATTTACATGCACATTGAAATGCTGTTTCTGTGTTTTAATGCCTTGATGTTTGCCACCTTGGAGACCCTATTTCGGTGAAAAGGGAGCACAGAAATAACTTTAAGCAAATAAATATGCATTTTTAAAAACGGCATTGTTTTTAACTTTGTGATCTGCCTTGCATCTCAGCGAGAAAGGTGGACTCTTTCTTCTTTAAAACATTTCTATGCCACCTTTCCACCCGATTTGGGGCCCCCAAGGTGCTGCGTCACCAAAACACTAGAACATCATTTAAAATACAGGTAAAGAGATATATAATATTTAAAACAATTAAACAAAACATAAATGTGCAAAGGAGGAGGAGGGCTAATACAAATTCGTGATGGAACGCCGAACGAAACAATGAAGTCTTCATCCCCTGGCTGGTGGGAGACAATGACAGAGAGAGAGAGAGACAGAGGAATCTCTTTTGATGCACAAGGTGATGCACATTGGAGCCAAAAATCCGAAATATAAATACACATTGATGGGGTCTGAACTGGCAGAGACTGATCAAGAGAGAGATCTTGGAGTCGTAGGAGATAACTCACTGAAAATGTCGAGACAGTGTGTGACTGCAATAAAGAAGGCCAATGCTATGCTGGGGATTATTAGGAAGGGTATTGTAAACAGATCAGCCAATATCATAATGCCCCTATATAAATCAATGGTGAGACCTCATTTGGAATACTGTGTGCAGTTCTGGTCACCACACCTTAAAAGGGATATTATAGCTTTGGGAAAAGTGCAGAAAAGGGCAACTCGAATGATAAAAGGGTTGGAACACTTTCCCTATGAGGAAAGGTTAAAGCGCTTAGGGCTCTTTAGCTTGGAGAAAAGACGACTGAGGGGTGACATGATTGAGGTTTACAAGATTATGCATGGGAAAGAACAGGTAGAGAAAGAGGTACTTTCCCCCCTTTCTCACAATACAAGAACTCGTGGGCACTCCATGAAATTGCTGAGCGGTCAGGTTAGAATGGATAAAAGGAAGTACTTCTTCACCCGAAGAGTGATTAACACTTGGAATTCACTGCCACAGGAGGTGGTGGCGGCTACAAGCATGGACGGCTTCAAAAGGGAATTAGATAAGCATATGGAGCAGAGGTCCATCAGTGACTATTAGCCACAAGGTATAGATAGGGACTCTGGGGCAAGGGATGCTCTCTTCTTGGTGCTTGGGGGGGGTCAACAGTGGGAGGGCTTCTAATGTCCTGGCCCCACTGGTGGACCTCTTGATGGCACCTGGTATTTTTGGCCACTGTGTGATACAGAGTGTTGGACTGGATGGGCCTTTGGCCTGATCCAACATTGGCGTCTCTTATGTTCTTATGTTTTGGTGGCATGACTGAGAAGGCCCTTTCTTGGGTTGCCTCCCACAGAGCTTCAGACCATAAATCAAGTAAATAAAACAGGATACATATAAACATGCTAACTAGTACTGATTTCTGCACGGTGTGAACAGATAAGGACATAAGAAGAGCCTGCTGGATCAGACCAGCGGTCCATCTAGCCCAGCATCCTGTCTCACGGCCAACCCATTCTTCTCGAGGGCCAACAACAGGGCATAGAGGCCGAGGCCTTCCCCTGATGCTGCCTCCTGGCTCTGGGATTCAGAGGATTTGTGCCTCTGAAGGTGGAAATTCCCCCTCAGTCACCATGGGCTAGTAGCCACTGAAAGTCCCATCTTCCCCGAATCTGTCTTATCCCCTTTTAAAGCTGTTTATTCCTGTGGCCGTCACTACATCCTCTGGTCCCACATTTTAATCACTCCCTGTCCCCTCTGCTCAAAAATATGAAATCGCCTGATTTTGAAAGCTCAGGCGACATGGCTGCTATCAAATACAAAAGATTTCTGTTACTCTGTGTGTGGCAAAATGTATAGGGGCAATCAGGGCTTTTTTGGTAGAAAAAGCCCAGCAGGAACTCATTAGCATAATAGGCCACACCCAACAGTAGAAACTCATTAGCATATCAAGCCACACCCCCATGTTACCAGAAGTGTGGTCATCCAGCCACACCCACCTTTTGTTTCTTATTCTGTTTACTTTGTTGTCAAAACCCTGGGCTTTTTTTGTAGCAGGAACTCCTTTGCATGTTAGGCCACACACCCCTAATGTAGCCAATCCTAATGAGTGTCTGCTGTTAGGTGTGGCCTATTATGCTAATGAGTTCCTGCTGGGCGTGGCCAACTCAGGAGCCAGCCGGAACTCCGTTCCTGTGCGTTCCTGTCCAAAAATAGCCCTGATGGGCAGTATGGGTCCACAGTCAACAGAAAATCTTTTCACACTGTGAGCATTTAGATATGTCGTCGAAGGCTTTCGTTTGCACTTTAGTTTTATCGCCATCTAATGAATGTTTTATATTGACTGGTTGTGTTTTAAATGATGTTTTAAATGATGTTTTATCTCTTATTGTGAATGTATACTGCTTGTCAGTTCTTGGAAGCCGCCCTGAGCCTGCCTGGCGGGGAAAGAGCGAAATAAATAAATAAATAAATAAATAAATAAATTTCACGGCTGGAGTGTTCATTAGTGTCGTAGATTTAGAATTCCGAAACAGAGGATCCTAGATACCGAGAAACAGGCTATCTGTTCTCTTGAACACAAAACCTGCTCCCCCCATTTAGCATTTGGTACCTTTCCAGAATACGGACTGCCTGCTGCTTACCTTTCCCAGATTACCTCACCCCAGTCACGCCACTCTTTTATGTTAGCAAGATTTAATGTTTTACCCACAGCGGCATTGTCTGGGAGGTCTGCCAACACTCCCTATCGAGAAAGACTTTGCCCATGTCAAGGAAGGCACCCAGAAACGACAGCCCATGTTCGACTTCATTGTGATTTTTGTGAGGAAGTGTGGGACCGTATAATTAAACCTATTGCGTCTAACTTTCACGGTCTATCTGAGGCAAAGTTAGTATCTCTTTTACCATCTGACCGATGTTCCCACATTACAAGTTCAGTTGCACGGTACCTTCTGGTTGCCATAACAATCGGGGAGCAAAAATCTAGCTCTTTTATGTGATGCTTGATGGTTTTTATCATTGTAATTTTCTGTAAACTGGCCATGTTGTACCTTTTTTTTCTTTTTACGCCAATGAAGGTATTTGGATTGGAGTTGTTGTGGATTTTCTGGGCTGTCTGGCCATGGTCTTGGCATTGTAGGACCTGACGTTTCGCCAGCAGCTGTGACTGGCATCCTGAGAAGGTTCTTTTGCATACAGATTGGCTGTTGAAATTCTGACCTTATCTGTAGTGCTATTGTAAGATGTAGAGCCTTTTGTGCTTTTCAGGACAGGAAACCAAGCCCTATTTATTTTTAAACTGTCTTCTTTCCTGTTGAAATTGTGTTTATGATTATGAATTGCAATGGCTTCCCTGTGAAATCTGACATGGTAATTGGATGTGTTGTCCAGCCTTTCAGTGTCTTGGAATAAGACAGGCTATGTTCAGCCACTGCTGATTTTTCAGGTTGGCCCAGTCTGCAGTGTCTTTCATGTTCTTTTATTCTTGTCTGAATGCTATGCTGTGTGGTCCCAATGTAAACCTGTCCACAACTGCATGGTATGCAGTATACTCCTGCAGGAAAGCTCCTCCATTAGCATGTCACAGCGTGGGAAACTCCTACAAGATAATGACTCAGCCCTACCCCACCTTCCTGAGTAGATATAAATTACCTGCCTACCATTTTTCTTCTCACCTTGACAGCGAGTACTCCATCTTTCTGTGTTGTACCTCTGAGGATAGTAAATACAAAATAAATTGCTGAAAAAGTTCACAAAAAAAAAAAATGTAATACATTGAACAAGGACGAACACTTCTCGAGTCTATCTGCGTTCGTTTCGAGTGATCTTTCTCAATCTCAGTCTTCAATATTCAATGAACTTCTGCAATTCAATGCACCACAAGGGTATCCAAAACATTCAAAATGGCTCACACAGCTCCTACACACTGATTCTTTTACATGGACACAGCTCCTACACACTGATTCTTTTACATGGACTTCAATTAACTTCTGCAATTCAATGCACCACCCTTGTGGTGCATTGAATTGCAGAAGTTAATTGAATATTGAAGACTGAGATTGAGAAAGATCACTCGAAACGAACGCAGATAGACTCGAGAAGTGTTCGTCCTTGTTCCTGTGCTGTATACCTGCTAGCACCTGCTGGAAAACAAATATTAAATTACATCTTTGATATTTGAAATGTATTACATCTTTATATTTTTGTGAACTTTTTCAGCAATTTATTTTGTATTTACTATACTCTATTTGCTGTACCCCATAGTCTATATGTACCTCTGAGGATGCCAGTCAGAGCTGCTGGCGAAACGTCAGATCCTACAATGCCAAGACCATTGCCATACAGCCTGGAAAACCTACAACAACTAAAGCATTTAGATACTTGCTCTCATATGTGCATTCTCCCATAAGCACAGAAGCTTGATTTAGAACTCAGCCGTCTCCCACACCCACTGCACTTACTCCTTTCTTTTCCTTTCCCCATTTTTTCTTGGACAGGGATCTCCTGGAAGTCGCTGCCCTGAAAGGCAGAGGAGTCACTCCCTATTTCCTGTTTTATTTCAATTTTCCACATCGGCTCCTCGGTTATATATCCTGCTCCTTCCAGTGTCATCTCATGTGATTCTCCTTCATTCTTGCTTTCCCAAATATCACCCTCTGGAATAAAGAGAGAAAACTGGTAAGGCCCCAAAGCCTCTTACCTGGGAACAAAACCACTCGACTGCTGTTAACAATGAACATAGGGCACTGAATAGCATTGATTTCTGCCCTGGTTGGATTCTCTTGTGGGCAGTGAGGCTGTTCCTGAAAACAATACTCCTTTCGGACTATGAGCATTTAAAAGTACCCTAATTTACATTCTACAATGAGCATTAAAACTGAATTTACAGCTGTAGCATTCCATACACACACGGCACCAACGCTCCCTCTAAGCTGTGGAGTCTTGTGAGCAAAACTTCTACTTTGTGATCTACTGGCATTAAAGTTGTGTGAGAGAGATTTGGCTACTGCATAAACTAGTTTTCTCTGAAGCCCTCCTTCCTGAGCTAAGACAAATATCTGCGAGCTGGAGGCTAAAAAACTGTGAGCTGGCTCACACTCACTCAACTTAGAGGGAACACTGCACGGCACTTACTCTTTTCCTTTCCTTCATCTGTTTTTTCCTGGATTGGGAATTTATGAAAATTTGCATCCTGCAAAGCAAAGGATTTATTCTCCCTCTTCCGTTTCACTTCTGTTTTCCTCCTCGGCTGATCCCCCCCACTCAGCTTGACTCTGTCCAACAAAATCGCATTCGGCCTTCCCTCCTTCTTGCTCTCCCGCATGTCACCTTCTGGAATAAAGAAGAACCAATGAAATCCCAGAAGAGAAACAGAGCTTCTTATCAGCGGATAAAACCAGGCAACGGCTTAATCACGGGGATAGATTTTTTTAAAAAAAGATATCTTATATTTATTTGATTTACAACCCCAACATAACCTATATTTCAGTTCATTAGATGTTTAGCATGTACTTCATCAATTAACCCTCTCTCCACCCAAGCAGCCCACAGTGCTCAGAAACAGTTGTGGCCCACACTCATTTCCTCAAAAGGCATTAGAGCAGGGGTGTCAAACATAAGGCCCGGGGGCCGGAACAGGCCCATCCAGGGCTCTTAAGCGGCCCGTGAGCAACTAGTGCAAGGGAGGGAACGGGAGAAGGCTCAGGGGGAAGCGGGCAGAGCCACTCCGACTGTGGCTTCAGCACAGCAAAACAACCTTCTCTACAACAGGCAAGCAGTGTGGGAGCGTCTGCCCAGTGCTGCACCACTGGATCTCCAGTCCCCCCATATAGGTTTTCCTTTGCACTCCCCTCCTGTACCCATGAGGCCCTGAACTAAACAGTACAACAACTCGGAGCTCACCGGCTGCTGTCCTTTATACAGCTTGTATCTCCAGTAACTGACATTATGTTTTACGGCACACATGGCCCGGCCCGGCCAAAGTGACGAAGACAGCTGTGTTTCTCGTAAGCTTATGCTGCAATAAAGCTTGTCAGTCTTAAAGGTGCTGCTGGGCTTTTTACTATTTTGCAGCAACAGACTAACACGGCAAGCTAGTGTCCTGGCCCCACTGCTGGACCTCCTGATGGCCCCTGGTATGTTTGGCCACTGTGTGTCACAGGGTGTTGGACTGGATGGGGCATGGGCCTGATCCAGCATTGGCTTCTCTTATGTCTTTATGACTTGATGACACTTTCCACCACCATCAACATGGCGCAGGCTAGCCTTATCTCATCAGTTCTTGGAAGCTAAGCATGGTCTCCCCTGGTTAGTAATTGGATGGGAAACCACCACTACATTATAACGGCTTTCAAAGTTTAAAACAAAGAGGGTCCAAAAGGGTCCAAAAGGAAGCCTTACCCAGAGAGGCCACCATCCCATAATTCTCTAGCATGACTTCCCTGTGCAGAGCTCTTTGGCCTGCGTCCAGCAGAGCCCACTCCTCCTCGGTGAAATGCACGGACACCTCCTTCAAGGTCAGCAGACCCTAAAAGAGAATTTAAAAAGAATATGTCGACTCAGAGATGATATCGTCATCCGTCCCCCATCCCAAGTACAATCCTGGGCCTCTCTTGCAGGACGGAAACCTCTGAGACAGGAATTTTGCTCACCGGGAAGGGAAGAAAGTTTCATTCAAGCTCAAGGCAAGGTGCAGGGGAAAGAGATGCCCAGGGGGTTGAGGGCTAGATCCCTCTCTTACGTGATCTGGCTGCGCAGGGACCGTTTCGCCTCCAGCATAACCCGGTGTTGACCTTGAAGGCGTTTCGGGGGATGCTCCTCCATCTGTGAGGGAAACCACCGTGATGGGGAAAGACTGTAACCTTTATAAATATTTTGTACTTTGTTAACACACACTTTAAATTTCAGTACCTTATGCAGAAAGAGAAGAAGAAAATTCCCTTATCACATTGGCGCCTGGGCATAATTCAAAGTACTGGTTTGGATTTTTTTTATTATTATTATTTCTTCTGGAGAAACAGGGGAAAAGGAACGGGGGCGGGGGACATAAAACCCAGCAACGAAACAAGATTTTTAATAAAGGGAAAAAAGATATAAAGTAAAGACAGAAACAGAACAACAATGGTTGTGGATCTACAAATAAGTTTCTATAAATGGTTTCCAAATATCAAAAATTAAGTACATACATTTGGATCTAAAACTTTTAAAGTATTCAGTCTGGAGAAGGGGAGGTTGAGGGGGGACATGAGTGCTCTAAGCATTTGAAGAGCTGTCACTTAGAGGAGGGCAGGGAGCTGTTCCTGTTGGCAGCAGAGGAGAGGACTCGCAAGAATGGGTTTAAATTAAGGGTGTGAGTTGTGCAACAGTGGAATCAGCTGCCTAGGGAGGTGGTGAGCTCCCCCTCACTGGCAGTCTTTAAGCAGCGGCTGGACAAACACTTGTCAGGGATGCTCTAGGCTGATCATGCACTGATAACGACAAAAATACTACAATTGAGCATACATATATTCATAAATTCTCTATAACAAAATTACATTCTAAATATAGCATAACAATAATTTCATGTCTTTATAGATGATAACAATGATGAAATGATGGACGAAACTCTCCGGAATAGCTTCCGTTTCGTGAGCCTTCTTCTTACATCAATCATCCTATTAAATATATATTACAGTCATTGTTTCATCAAGGAATAAACCAAGCCTATTTTAAAACTATTCCCACCACTTCATACATACAGTCAGTTGTCTTCTTCACTTCACTGAGCAGGGGGGTGGACTAGATGGCCTATACGGCCCCTTCCAGCTCTGTGGTTCTATGAATGCTCAGAGAAGAGACGTCACCCAAGGAAATCTGGATATTGTAATATCCCTGTATAGATCTATGGTGCGGCTGCATTTGGAATAGTGTGTATAGTTCTGGTCTCTGTATCTCTAAAAGGACATTGCAGAGCTGGAAAAAGTACAGAGGAGGGCAACCCAGAGGATGAAGGGGTTGAGGCACTTTCCCCATGAGGAAAGGCTGAAGAGTCTGGGACTTCTCAGTTTGGAAAAGGGATGACTGAGGGTGGACATGATAGGGGTTTATAAAATAATGCATTGGCTGGAGAGAGTTGACAAAGAGAACTTTTTCTCCAGCTCCTAAACTACTAGAACCTGAGGGCATCCAATGAAGCTGACGGGCAGTAGGTTCAGGAGGGACAAAAGGAAATACAACTTTACACAGATTTGCTGCCAGAGGATGTAGTGATGGGCACAGGCATAAACTGGGATTAGATAGATTCACGGAGGATAAGTATCAATGGCTACTAGCCCTGGTGACTGAGGGGAACCACCACATTCAGAGGCACAAATCCTCTGAATCCCAGACTCAGGAGGCTACATCAGGGGAAGGCCTCAGCCTCTATGCCCTGTTGTTGGCCATCCACAGGAACTGGTTGGCCACTGTGTGAGACAGGATCCTGGTCTAGATGGGCCACTGGTCTGATACAGCAGGGCTCTTCTTTTATTCTTACGAAGGCCTCAGCCTCTGTGCCCTGTTGTTGGCCCTCCAGAGGAACTGGTTGGCCTCCGTGTCAGACAGAATGCTGGTCTAGATGGACTATTGGGTCTGACCCAGCAGGGCTCTTCTTATGAAGGCCTCGGCCTCTATGCCCCTCTTAGAATCATAGAGTTGGAAGGGACCTCCAGGGTCATCCAATCCAATCCCCCCTCACAATTAAGGACATTCACAACTACCTCCCCCCCCACACACACCCAGTGACCCCTGCTCCATCCCCAGAAGATGGGAGGGGGAACCCTCCAGGATCCCTGACCAAAATGGCCTGGAGGAAATTGCTTCCTGACCCCTAAGAGGCTATCGGCATTTTCCCAGGGTGCTTAAGAAAGGGCCACGAGAACTAAGCACTGAGGCAACCCTTCCTGCCCTCCCTTCTTCTGATCTGCCTAAGTTCACAGAATCGGCATTGCTGTCAGATGGTCATCTGGCCTCTGTTTGAAAACCTCCAAAGAAGGAGAGCCCACCAGAGGCTCTCTTCTTATGTTCTTACAGAAAATGAGAGAGAGCGAGAGAGACAGAGAAGGTTTTATGCTAATTTGGCATACCCCGCCGTCTTCTGTAAGCCGCCCAGAGCCTGTTTACAGGGTGGGTGGGGTATAAATATAAGTATAAAGAAAGAAAGAGAGGAGGAGGAGGAGGAGATTGGATTTATACCCTGCCCTTCACTCTCAGCGCGGCTTACAAACTCCTTTCCCTTCCCCTCCCCACAACAGACACCCTGTGAGGTAGGCGGGGCTGAGAGAGCTCTGACAGAAACTGCCCTTTCAAGGACAGCTCTGACAGAACTATGGCTTGCCCAAGGTCACCCAGCAGCTGCGAGTGGAGGAGTGGGGAATCAAACCCGGTTCTCCCAGATTAGAGTCCGCGCACTTAACCACTACACCAAAGAAAGAGGCAGAGAGGCACATACAAAGAGAGATTTGAAATATGCTTCCTTAATCCTTACCCACGGGAATGGTACTTTGGTCTCCAACATGCAAAATCCCCCCGGACGGCAGGCCCTGTCCACTGTCAGATGGAGAATCCTGTGCCACACAGAAATTGGCAGCTGCTTCTCCCGACAGGCCCCGCATCTGAAGCAGAAAGGAAAGTCCCACCAAAGCAGTGGGGAGAGGAGTTAGGGAAGGAAAGGGCGGGGAGGGGGGAGGAGTCGATCAGGGCCCTGCGAGACCTTATTCAGTCCCGCAGGGCCTGCAAAACGGAGCAGTTCTGCCAGGTTTCTGGTTGAGGCAGCGGGTGTCCACACCAACGCTCCCTCTAAGCTGTGGAGTCTTGTGAGCAAAGATTCTACTTTGTGAGCTCCTGGCGTTAAAGTTGTGAGCGAGCGATTTGGCTACTGCATAAATTAGTTTGTTCTAGAGTCCTCCTTCCTGAGCTAAGACAAAAATGTGTGAGCTGGAGGCTGGGAAACTGAGCTAGCTCACGCTAACTCAGCTTAGAGGGAACACTGGAACGCCACACACGGCCACCCCGGAGGTTGCTGTCTCCCACCTACCGGCCATCCATCGGTAACCGGTCATTTCCACTTGTATTAATGGGTCGGAACTTTCACCAGTAGCGATAACCACTGATTTTAAATGTTTATATTGTGTTTTTAAACTTTATTGTAACTGTTGAGATATGACGTGACCAGTGTTCCCTCTAAGCTGAGTTAGTGTGAGCTAGCTCACAGTTTTCTAGCCTCCGGCTCACACATTTTTGTCTCCGCTCAGGAAGGATGGCTCCAGAGCAGACTAATGCATGCAGCAGCCAAATCGCTCACTCACAGCTTTAATGCCAGTAGCGCACAAAGTAGAATTTTTGCTCACAAGACTCCACAGCTTAGAGGGAACATTGGATGTGACCCGCCCTGAGCCCACTCACGGGATGGGCAGGATACAAATTCAAAGAATAAATAAATAACAAGAATACAAACATGACTAACTCATCAGCAACAAAAACCAAGGGATGGGGAATTCTGGGAACATCCCTGTCAGCTGGCTAAAATCCAGGCTGAGCTTCCACTTTTTGTTTCTGTGACAGGTATAAACAGAAGAGGAGTTGGGTTGTATACCCCACCCTTCACTACCCAAAGGAGTCTCAGAGCGGCTTACAATCTCCTTTCCCTTCTTCTCCCCACAACAGACACCCTGTGAGCAATGTTCCCTCTAAGCTGTGGAGTCTTGTGAGGAAAAACTCTACTTTGTGAACTACTGGCAGGGGTCATTTCGTAGAAAAAGAGCTAGGGGAACTCATTAGCATAACTCATTAGCATATGCCACACACCCTAACATCACCGGAAGTGTGTCATAAGGCCGCAAGGAAGCCCCGCGAAGGCCCTCCCTGGCCCCAGGCAGGCAGGGGTGGGGAGAGGCAGGGAGGAAGTAACTTACCCTCCCTCTTCTCCTGCCTCCTCCTGGCTGAATGAGGGCCGGAAGCGGGGTGGCCGGAAGCAGGGGGCGGGGCTTCGTCATGTGCCCCTCACCCAGGGGAACTGTGTTCCCCCGCGTTCCCCCCCGAAATGACCTCTGGCTACTGGCATTAAAGTTGTGAGCAAGCAATGTGGCTGCTGCATCAATTAGTTTGCTCTGGAGCCATCCCTTCCTGAGCCAAGGCAAAAATGTGTGAGCCGGAGGCTAAAAAACTGTGAGCTAGCTCACACTAACTCAACTTAGAGGGAACACTGCCTGTGAGGTAAGATGGGGCCGAGAGAGCTCTGAGAGAAACTGACTGGCCCACGGTGGCTTCATGTGGATAAATAATATCCACATTAAAAATAAATAAATAAATAAAATGTAGAGGAGTGGGGAATCAAACCCGACTCTCCAGATGAGAAGAGCTGGTTTTTATACTCTGCTTTTCTCTACCCAAAGGAGTCTCGAAGCAGCTTACAATTGGCTTCCATTTCTCTCCCCACAACAGGCACCTTGTGAGGCAGGTGGGTCAGAGAGAGAACTGTGACTGACGGACTCAAGGTCACCCAGCTGGCTTCCTGTGGAGAAGTGGGGAATTATACCTGGGTCTCCAGAGTCTGCTGCTCTGAACCACACGAGACTTGTAAGACGGAGCTGTTCCGCCAGGCCTTTGGCTGAGGGAGCGGACGTCTCTATGTGGCCTCCTTGAGGTGGCTGTCATCCGCCCACCTATCAAACCAAATCATAGGGAACCCCCACAGCCAGCTGATTTGTTAGACGTGTGACTATGTTTTAATGTTTTTTATTTTCAAACTGTTCAAATTGTTTAATTTTAATTGGGTTTATTGTATGTTTTATGATGTTACCTGCTCACGGGATGGGTGGGCTATAAATACAAATAATACATAATAAATAAATAAATAAATAAATAAAATACGCCACGCTGGCTCTCTTGGGCAAGGCCAGAAGTGTGAGCTAAAGGACTCTTGGACAAACCATGGGACTGAGAGGGCTAGATCAGTGGGCCCAGGACAGGATGTTGTCAGGGTGCTAGTTTTGTTCTGTTACTTAGGCTGTATTTTTGTCTATTTAAACTGTTTCTTAAAATTGCATTTCACTATTTTTTTCTACGACACTGGGGAGGGGGAATCCCCCACTGGGGAGAAAAAAACGGGAGACATTAAGAATCAGAATCCCATCAAACCAGTAGTGTAAAAAAGGCACTAAAAATACCCCCTCCCCCCAAAAAAAGAATTAACAGACAAGATAAAACTTTAGTTAAAAGGCAAGGTAACCAGAAATGCTTTGGCCTGGTGCATAAAAGATGGAAAGGCTCTACAACATAGAATAAATTGAACACTCTCCTAGATGTCTCAAACAATGTGGCCAATTAGCAGACTACTTACACTGTTGGTGGCCATGTAAAACGATACAAAAATTTTGGGAAGAAGTACTTAAGGTGATTGGTGAAATGATATCTATACAAATATCTCAAAAACCAGAGATGATATTGTTGGGAAAATGGGACACAAACCAAATGACATCAAGACAGAGAGAAACTGCTTCTCTACTGTTAACAATACCAAAATCAATGATAGCAATAGAATGGATAGGAGAAAAACCTCCCACAGTGCAACAATGGCTCATAAAGATATGGGTTTATTTTGAGTAAATTATCATTCAATTTGTATAAAAATTCTGCTGCACAATACGAGAAAAAAAGTGGTATCAGTTTGGTTCCCAATTATAAGTTATTTAATGGAAAAAGATATTCTTCCAAGGAACACTCTGTATCATAATATGATCTACTTTTAAACAAAGTTTACTGTGAACTGTTTGAGGTATATGTTGGTTATGTTGTAAAATAAAAATTATAAATAATTTTTTAAAAAAAGATGGAAAGGCTCTACAATGCAATCCTAAGCCATTTATGTGCACATGAAGCCTTACATCCAAAATAAAACTTTGTTGGTCTTAAAGGTGCCGCTGGACGCAAACTTTGTTCCGGTGTCAATTCTACGTACCTCTGCTTGGGGATACGACGTAATAAAACTGCTGATCTGAATCGAGCCACTGTACCTGAAATGCTCTCACCTGCCTTTCCTGCTTCTCATCCTCTGCCTGACTCAAGAGAAAGACTTCTGCCAAGGCCACTGCTTGGAAACTGGTCTCCGGCCCACATCCTCTGACCCAGCTCTCCATCGCCGGGGGCAGGACGGCCAGGAACTGCTCCAGGATCACCAGGTCCAGCATCTCCTTCTTGGTGTGCCTCTCCGGCTTCAGCCACTGGCGGCAAAGATCGTGGAGTCGGCGGCGAACCTCTCGGGGGCCCTCGGCCCCTTGGTAGCGGAACTGCCTGAAGCACTGGCGCCGGGCTTCTAAACTGGAGGTTTCCTCCCCCAGTATCTTCTGCACCGTCCTTTCCCAGAATTCCCCTCTGCTCCCAATGTCAACAGCATGAAGGCCTTCCACCCCTTCGAGGCCTGCTGCATTTCCGGCCATCTCCGTATGCCAAGCTGTCCTCCAACAGTACCCTAGAATAATCTCACTTGGCTTCCTTCCTAAGTCCAGAACTCACTTGACAGGAGTGGCTTAGGTTCTGAGAGACCAAAACTTCATTCTGTGTGCGGATTTCTGTCAGGAGGTTGGGTTTTTAAAAAAAAACAAAAACACCAAGGTGATGTGGATGGTTCCAGCAAGTGACTAGTCCCCTCCCTACAGGAAAGAAAGCAAAACAGTATTTATTTAGAACGTTTTAATGCCATCTTCCCACCCAATCAGAGTCCACAAGGTGGCAAACGTGAAAAAAACCACACATTAAAACATTTGAGCAATTAAAAGCACGCTTAAAATTATAAAGTCCTTCAAGTAAAAACACATAAACGCACTAGAAGGAGAGCCGGCAATTGGTACTGAAGGTATGCCAGACGGATCGGAAAAGTCTGGTGAAAGATATTGAAAGAGGGAGACCCTGCGAGGGAGTTCCAAAGTTTTGGTGCCACAACCAAGAAAGCCCTTCCTCGGGTTGCCAACTATCTAGCTTCAGATGGCAAGGGCAGCCAAAGCAAGGCCTCCCAAAAATGACCAGAGTGTAGGGGCAGGTACATATGGACACAAAGTGTGTGTAGGGAAAATGTTCCTTTATTTGAAGCTCACTCAGTGCTATCCTAAGAACTCTTTCCTGGCCGTTAGCCCCATTGAATAGACTTGAGTAGGATTCTGAGTAGACTTTCTTAAGATTCCTCTTACTGTCTAAGGCACCGGTTCCCAAAGTGGGCAATCCTGCCCCCACGGGGGCGTTGGAACAATCCAGGTGGGCTGGAACGATCCAGGTGCAGATCCACAAACTACATCTTTCTGTCCACTTCTTGAAGGTAGATTTCCAGGGGGGGTACTGAGCAGTGTTCCCCCTAGTGGCAATGAGTTAGTGTGAGCTAGCTCACAGTTTTTTAGCCTCCGGCTCACACATTCTTGTCTTAGCTCAGGAAGGAGGGCTCCAGAGCAAACTAATCTATGCAGTAGCCAAATCGCTCGCTCACAGCTTCGGTGGCTCACAAGACACCACAGCTTAGAGGGAACATCGGTACTGAGTACTTTCTTTTCTGAAAAGGGGGTGGTAGGCCAAATAAGTTTGGGAACTTCTGGTCTAAGGCCTTCTTTTCTGCTCAAGTCCACTGATATAGTCTCCTTCTGGCCCAGCCAAATTAGAAAAGGTGCAAACTGAATTCAACAATATGCCCAGAAGGCCAACAAAGGTTAAGTTCTACAAAATGGCTCGCACCCACCTTAAATCTACCGAGTCTATGCTGTTTGAAATCATGTTATCATCACATTAACTACTGGTCTTTGTTTCTCAAAGGGTCGTGGGCAATGCTTCCTCTAAGCTGTGGAGTCTTATGGGCAGAAATTCTGCTTTGTGAGCTAGTGGCATTAAAGTTGTGCGTGAGCGATTTTGGCTACTGCATAAATGAGTTTGTTCTGGAGCCATCCCTTCCTGAGCTAAGGCAAAAATCTTTGAGCTGGAGGCTAAAAAACTGTGAGCTAGCTCACACTTACTCAGCTTAGAGGGAACACTGGTTGTGGGGAAGCTCCTCTGTCCCAATAACCTCTGTCACATTCTGAAACCTGTCTTATTATGCACCTAACATTTATATTTGCAACGTATCTTGAATTCTGAACTCTGTCAAGGAGCTCTTCCATCTGGCCCAGAAACACAATCCCCCGCCCACCCCCCCATTCTAGATTTTTTTCTTCTTGGACTTTCTCTGTGGGTCTGCACAGCTACTGGCCTACACACACAGCCAGCTTGTCTACATTGTAGTCATTTTAAATAATCTCCAAACACCCTGGAGAAATCTGATCCTTCCCAGTCTCAGGTTTTGAAGACTTTTCTCTTCCCAGGTCTAATATGACCATTTTGGATTTGCTGAGCAAATTCCCACTTTTCTCTTTCCTCCTCTGCCTCCCCCCCTTTTTTTTTAACTGGACTTTCAGCCTGAAGAATTCAAAAGCTTCTTCAGCGGTCTTGTGATATTTTCGTTGATCCTAACAAAAAGATTTAAATAAATATTTAAAGAACATAAGAAGAGCCCTACTGGATCATTCCAGTGGTCCATCTAGTCCAGCATCCTGTCTCACACACTGGCCAACCAGTTCCTCTGGAGGGCCAACAACAGAGCCTAGAGGCCGAGGCCTTCATAAGTACATCAGAAGAGCCCTGCTGGATCAGACCTGTGATCCATCTAGTCCAGCATCCTGTCTCACACACTGGCCAACCAGTTCCTCTGGACAGCCAACAACAGGACCTAGAGGCCAAGGCCTTCCCCTGATGTTGCCTCCTGGCTCTGGGATTCAGGTGTTTATCGCATCCTTGAATTTCCAAACACCATGACCACAGTGCCACTTTTATTTAGTTACAAAATTTTGAAATTTTATATCTCACCCTATTAGGAGATCAGTGAATAGAAATAAATCCCTGTGTGTTTTCCCTTCCCCCATTAAAAAGCCAGCCTAGTTTGGATGAAGACTGTAGTATAAAGGAACGGTGTGTGTGTGGGGGGGCAGGTTAAGCCAATTTGGTGTAGTGATTAAGAGCGACGGACTCTAATCTGGAGAATTGGGTCTGATTCCCCACTCCTCCACATGCAACCAGTTGGGTGACCTTGGGTCAGTCACAGTTCTCTCAAGAGCAGTTCTGTCAGAGTTCTCTCAGCCCCACCTACCTAACAGTGTGTCTGTTGTGGGGACAGGGAGGGAAGGACATTGTAAGATGCTCTAGGACTCCGAGGGAAGGGCGTGGTAAAAATCCAATCTCTTTTCTCTTCTTCCCAACCCAAAATGGCCTTTCTGAGTTACAATTGGCCCTGTGAGAGAAACCCCGAGACTTCCCCTCTAGCCGTCTCCGTGACTAACTGTACCGAGACAAAGCCCCTTTGTTTGTACCAAGAAATATTGACTCCATCCTGATTTTAAGAGATGCTTTCCCTGTCGATGTGAAAATACCTGGATTTGACCATTCCCACATTCTCTCTTTCAATCGTCTGTCTAGATTCTCACGCTCAAGAGTTCTGATGGAGAGGCGCATGGCTCCCGTCCTGCCTCCACAAGTGGCCCTGGAGAGAAATTTCTTCTTCTGATTTTTTTCCCCCTAGTGACAATGGAACGCAGAAGCCCAATAGAACTTTCCTGGCCCTTTCTATGCATTTTCTGTCCAGGGACAACCATGTGCCATTGCTGACAGAGACAGTAGCTCTATGTTCGGCTTTAGTACCAAGCACGCCTTTCTCCTCATCTTGGCGTCGCTTTCCTAGCATCAGCAAATATGTCCCTTGCCCTTTTGCTGCTATTTCCCCTTCGATTCTCTGTGCCCCGAAGCTCCCTAGCTCCTGTCTTGTTTGGTACCTCTCTGTTTACGGGCGACTCTGTAGTTTTTGGTGTTAAGCCCCAGCAATCCAATTCTGCCGAAGTTCAAGCAGGGCCTGGCGCATTCACACAGAGTCTCCGCTGGTGCCCCAATGCGCTTCCTCCCAACACTACATTTACGCAGTGAGACCCCACAGCTCTCTCTAAAAACATGTCAGAAACCCATCCAAAAAAATCCATGGGTGCAGTCTGAAGTGATGTCCTGAGGAAGAAGAAGAAGAAGAAGAGTTGGTTTTTATACCCCGCTTTTCTCTGCCCTAAAGAGTCTCAAAGTTGGCTTACAATCACCTTCCCTTCCTCTCCCCACAACAGGCAACTTGTGAGGTAGGTGGGGCTGAGGGAGTTCGGAGAGAACTGGGACTGGCCCAGGGTCACCCAGCAGGCTGCATGCAGAGGAACGAGGGAATCAAACTGGGCTCTCCAGATTAGATTCTGCCGCTCTGAACCAATGCTCCCTCTAAGCTGTGGAGTCTTGTGAGCAAAAATTCTACTTTGTGAGCTACTGACATTAAAGTTGTGAGTGAGCAATTTGGCTGCAGCATAAATTAGTTTGCTCTGGAGCCATCCTTCCTGAGCTAAGACAAAAATGCGTGAGCCAGAGGCTAAATAACTGTGAGCTAGCTCACACTAGAGATGTAAAATTTCCGGAAATTTTGAAGCTCGGAAAAAACCCCGGGTTTTTTCCAGTTTTTTTCGGGGGGGAAAGGAAATTTCTGGAAAAATTGAAAAAAATGCTACATTAGCACTTTTTTTGTCTTTTCTAGATTGAAAGTCATTCTGTTACTTTAGGAACAAAATATGACTATGGACATTTTTACTTGGCATGAAATTATCACAACTAGCATATTAAAAATATAGTGTATCCAAACAATTATTACAAAAAGAATACCCGCCCACATGCAAAAACAAAACTGAAACCTTTTTCTTTTCTCGTGACAATAGCACCTCCTAAAGGAAGAAATGCATCTTGTTCTTGCATCGGAGAGTTCAGTTTGTAACCTAGGACTTGCATGTCCTCAGTGCACAGAAATTAGATCAATCTAATACCATAGATATATATATTAGAAATGATTTGGAAAATATTTGAACACCTTGTCTTAAAATATTTTATTCATCATGTTAAAATAAAGCGTTCCATAATCATTTTTTTTTCTTTTCTTTTTTCAATGTTTCCAATTTTTTGGAAAAAAAAAAAAGGCTTCAGGAAAAAAACGGGGGGGGGGAACGGTTTTTTCCCAATTT